CTCCCAGCAGCTATCAATTACCAGTAGCTCCTCAGCTAGGACTGGGGCTTCCTGCACTCCTCCCCCTCCATGCTGGGGTTTTGGTCTGGGTTGGGTTTGTGCAGGTGTCATGCACGCTGTCACAAGGGTTGTAGGTTCATATGTGCAACTGCCCCATTATATCTGGAAAACACAGTTTCCATGTTTCCCACCTCTGGCTCTTACAATCTCTCTGCCCCCTCTTCTGCAATGCTCCCTGAGCCTTTGGAGGCAAGGGTGTGATACAGGCATCTCATTTAGGGCTGAGCACTCTGCAGTTTCTTTCTGCATATTGACCAGTTGTGGGTCTCTTAGTCACTATCTGCTGTAAGAAGCTTCTCTCATGAGAGTTGAAAGGTATATTAATTTGTGGGTATAACAATACTCATTAGGAGTCAGTTTAATATTATATCCATTTAATGGGGTAATAGTAGTAGGTTCTCCCCTATGGCCTGTGACCTGTCTGGCTACAGGGTCTTGGCCCTAATAACAGTGCCAGGTATAGATTTCATTTTGTGAAATGGGCTTTAAATCCAATCAGAAAGTGATTAGTTACTCCTAAAACATTTGTACCACTATTTCACCAGTTGCCTTTCTGTTTTCTATTTAAATAATGCTCTTTGCAGTATTAGTTCCTCTTTGGTGTTTGCCCCATTGTTCTGGAACTAGATTCCCATATTGAATGCTTATAACTCATTGTAAACCTTTCTTCTTTCCTGATAAATGCATTTTAAAAAATATTTTATTTATTATTTTTATTTTATATGTATGAGTGTATTGCCTGCATGTATGTGAGTGCACCCATGTCATGCAATGCCACAGAGGTTAGAAGAGGGCTTCGGGTTCCCTTGGAACTGGAGCTAAGGATGGTTCATAGCTGCCATGTAGGTGCTGGGAATCAAACCCTGCTCCTCTGCAAGAGCAGTCAGTGCTCTCAACCGCTGAGCCATCTCTCCAGCCCCCAATAAATGCATTTATTAGGAAGTTGTGATTGGCCTCCAGTACTGTTTTAGCGACAGTCAACATTTTTTCAGTATGTAGTTCATTTTATCTTATTGCCTTTCATTTCTTAGTATATCTGTTTTCATTATGCTTTCTTTATCCTATAAATTATTAAGGAATTTCGTTCCCTCTTTTGAGAATCTTCTCTTTTGTAAGAAAATATTAAATTTAAATTTAATTTGTGTGTGTGTGTGTGTGTGTGTGTGTGTGTGTGTGTGTGTGAATTTATGCCACATGTATGGAGGTGCCTGAGAAAGCCAGAAGAGGGTGTCAGATCCCCTGGAATTACAGGCAGTTATGAGCCACCCAACATGGGTGCCGGGAACCAAACACAGTTCTCTCCAAGAGCAGTATGTGCTCTTAACTGCTGAGCCATCTCTCTAGCCTTTGATATGTGTGCTTATCTGCTGTGCCATCTCTCTAGCTCTTGAGGGGGGGGGGGAGAGAGAGAGAGAGAGAGAGAGAGAGAGAGAGAGAGAGAGAGAACATTTTCTGAACTGTTCAACTCAGATGTCTTGGTTGCAAGCAAGGAAAACAAACGCACCTGAGACCCAGTAGAAAGTACTTGTTTCCTTCTGCTATACGCTAAGCTTCACTTGTTTACCTCTGCTACTGCCTGAACACTCCTGCCAGAACAGCAACACCATGAAGGCAGGAACTTTGCTGACTGTTACACATTGCTCTGTCCCTGGCACCCAGAACAAAACTTGGCAGAGTAAACACCAAAGAGGAAATGTATATAGATGCAAAAGACTCTGTCTAAATAGAAAACAAAAAGTAATAGCTCAGTGTTTCGTTCATGAATGAATAAATACAAGAATGTCACAGTGGTGAGCTCTGGGTGGTTGCTATTACTGCATTATCACTATCTGGCAGAAGTGTTTAAGATTGGCCTGGGCTCAAGATGGCAATTATTAACGACAGGGTTTAGGAATGCCAACAGAAGTGACATGCAAGCATTCATGAAGGAATTTCTTTCATCAGTCTTTTCAAAAATCCAGTTTGGGCCTTTTGTTTTCTACTTAATTTCTTTTACTTGTATTAGTTCCTCTTCAATGTGGACTCTGCTGTTTCTTAATTAGTTTCTTGTATCAAATACAGAGCAGCTAGAGAAGGGGGTTGGTTATTAATCAGCTCTAAGCTTCCATAGGAAAAATCAGTGAACGTCACATATGAGACTCTCTAGAAAGACTGGCTTGGATTCTCTTCACTATCTGAACTCTCTGGCCTATGTGCAGACTCAGCAGCTCTGCATAGTCTATGCAGTGACTCAAAAAAGGGGAACGGTACACCCTAAAGCAAGGGCCTAGTGGTAACTTCAGTCCTTCATTCTCACAGGGTCCCAGATGTTAGTTGACACATTCTCCGGCAGCTGTTTAACACAGATCATTGTAATAGTCTGTACTGACCACTTGGTCCTCTACCTCAGTATTTGTTTAGAAGCAGGTTAGCCCTTGGCTGGCTTGTTGAGTGTGACAGAGGACCCGTTTTCGGTTGTAGTAAGTACAGGATCTCCCGCTATAGTTACAACCATGAAGCCAGAGTCTACCTCTCTGATCTGAAAATTACAGGACGGGTGAGACGGACAAAAAGAGGGAAGACAGTTCCATTTCTTAAACTGATTTTACAACTTAAACTCCTAATCTCAATGTATTTCATTTATGTAAATTTATTTCTATTGAGTGGTCCATCCCATTTAACAAATTCAAAAAGGATGGTGTGCCTTCTGCAATTTCAAACACAGACAAATTAGATGTAAATAAAGTTTTCACAGTATTGTTTCTTGAATCTGTTGTTGTTTGCTATGCAGAATGGTCTTGTGTACTGAGATGTAGACTTGCTTTTCTGAACTGAATTTTCCATGGAAATTGTCCAGCACTCCCCTAATTCTCAGGCGCTTTATCGTCCTTCAGATAATGGCTGGCTGTAACCCACAGCACAGAGGTTATGTGCTGCACTTTCGAAGACGTCTTGAATGGAGCCATTGTGCCCCTGAGTTGGTCTGCATGTTTCACTGAACAAGAAAGCAGGGTGTAAAAAAGGCACCTTGTATGCAACTGTTGGCGAGGTTGTGGAGTGAATTAAAATCTCCAGAAAGTCTGGGCAGTGCTGTTCAGAGGAGCATTGAACCCTCTGGAAGCACTGTTAGCTCAGACATTCCAAAGCGGTGAGGCAGCCTCAGGGACCAGGCTCCCTCCAGTGGCATTTACGGAGGGGGTAAGCACAGAACATTGATCTGGACCTGCTCTCTTGGCAAAGATTTGGGAAAGGCACCCCTGTGCAGGGGTGGGGGGCCTGTTATCACACTTGGTTGGTTAGCTTTGTGCTTAGGGGACCTAGATTCGCCCTGTCTCCTAATAGCGCAATGACTCATCTGAAGGGTTGGATTTAACTGCTTATGCTTCTATCAGTTTGTGGCAATCTAATTCTCATATCAAAATTAAAAGAACAACCAACCAGGAGTCTTGGGGCAGCAGGTGATGATGATATTTGATATTTCCTGGATTTATTACATGAACTATATAAGCACACTGTAATGCTGTATATTAAATCAAAGTCCACTCTGCTAGTTATCAGTGCTGCTACTTACAGGCCCCTCCACTCAACCTATCCAGGACTTGGATTGGGGTAAATGAATGTTTATGTCTCATTGGTCTAATACTAAAATCCCGAGTGCTTAATGAGCAAAGAATTTCGCCAGAGCCTTCGGCAAAGGCCTTCCCAAACCAGGGAGGCAGTAATGTTAGTTTTCATTAAAATCCTAGTGGTAAGAAAACAGCAAAACAGTGTAAGGATCAGGCTGGCAGATTCTTCTTATGGGCAGAAATTTTTGGCTGTCTTGTGCATTCTTGCTCCAACCTCTCCTGTGCTCCAGAGGCTCCAAGGAGGAAAGATCTCTTTTAAGAGGGACTTGAAAGAAAGGGCTAAATGGAGCAGGAGAAAAGCATGTGGGAGGCATCCACGCTCTAGATAGATGGCTCAGCTAAGTTACAGGTACAGATTTGGGGGACGTAGGGGGATGGACACATCCTGTTGTGTGGTTCATACTAGCCCAGGGTATGTTGGCTTCCACGATTCGTGGGGAGTTTATTTAGAGGGTAATATGGAGCTATTGCGGGTTTCTGCATAAATCAAAGTTGTAGAGGAGAAAGAATAATATGGCTGTGGTGTGAAAGACTGATTTGGTCCAAGGGAAGAACAGAGGCGAGATGTGGACCACAAGAATCCGTTCTGATTGAACGTGGAAGTGTCAGGTCTCTAGAGAACAGGTAAGGAGGGAGGAGGCACAGGTCAGGCAAAAGGGAGGTTTGGTTTTTCTCCAGGTCCCTGGCTCTCCCAACTGTAGACTGGGCATAAAACCTACACCAGTAGCCGAGGATGCTCAAGGCAGAGCCGCCAGTTAGCTGTGAAAAATCTTCAAATTTGCTTCGGAGACAAAACAGTGCAATTTAGAGCACAGGCTTGGGTGGTCACGAGAGCAGCGAGAGTGGCGGGCACATCCACCGTGCTCAGCAAGTGCTTGCTAAATGAATGGAAGAACCCCAGGAGACTTGAGCCTCGCCGCTGGCACCTACGAGGGTAACTTTGGTCCAATCACTTAGCAGCTGTGGGCCTCAGTTTCCAGATCTGTCAACCAGGGATGTTCTCCTGGAAAGGAGGCGGTGCCTGACGACCTTCCCGCCTCCGAAGTGTGCTGAGTTCCCGCTCTCCCGGGAGCCGAGTGGCTCAACTGCACGGTCGCCTGCACCCTCCCGGGCCTGGGAGGAGGTGGCTCCTGCGCGCCTTGGCCGGGGGCCGGGCGGGGGTCGCGGGGCCACCAGGGCGGGGTGGCTGCTCCGCGCGCCGCCTTCCCCGCGC